ACCTGCCAGTATGAACGCGTATCCGCTGTACGATCGCCTATCGATCAAGTTCGCACCCCAGTCTGCATCGACCACGCCGTAGAGTGCTTTGTTGTTTTGTGTGTAAAGAAGACCATAGTTTCTGGTGCCGTTTAAATACCGTAGAATTCGCTTTGCAGCTTTCCAATGCTGCTCATTGTAGTTTGTATTAAACTAGCTCATGTAGTTTACCGCAAAAGCTATGTCTGGTCGAGTGGTAACTGCTAAGTACATGAGGGCACCTATTAGCCTTTGGTAGGGGTACCTTGCCATGACTTCTTCATCGATTTTAGTTGGTTTTTCAATTTTAAAATTTGTCTGCAGGGGTGTTTTTGCTGGTTTGCATTCGGTCATTTTGAAACGTTCCAGTATAGTTTGAATATAACCCTTCTGCATCAAAAAAACTTTGTGAGAACCCAAGTTTTGCTGGAAGTCAACGCCTACGCAACGCTTTACTGGACCAATATCTTTCATCTCGAAAGATTCGCTTAACGCTTTTTTCACGCTTTTTGTCCACGTCCTGTCGTTTGACGCTAGTAATAAGTCATCTACATATATTTTGACTAGTAATATCTGTTTACCTTTTTGTTTGGTGAAAAGGCATGGATCTTGCGTCGAAGCCTTCAAACCAAGCTGCTTTAATTTAGTTGTTAAGCGGTTGTACCACATAAGGCCCGACTTCGAAGTCCATATAACGCTTTCTTCAGCAGTCATACGGGGTTCTGCTTCTGCAACGCCGCTAACCACTCGTTAGTAGTTTTTTCGGCGTTTATATTATGCATTGTTACGCCATAACAGCCCACTGGCTCACCTGTTTTTATTTTGTTTAAAACATCCACTAGCATTTCTGGAGCTTCCATGTATACAGCTTCTTCGAGCTCTCCATTGAGATACGCAGTGACAACGTCCATTTGGTGGATTTCCAAGTCCATTTCAGCTGCCAAAGCTGCAAGCAAACGGATTGTCGTAGAGCGTGCTACCGGTGAATAGGTAT